TTACAACATTTCAGTCATCATTCAAGGTTACAACCATTTTTCACAGTTATGACCTGTGCAACATCTCTAGGTCATGTGATCTAAATTCAGATGCTTGGCAGCTGTTCATATTTATGACATTGCAGTATCCTGGAGTCACATGATTTCATTTTGCAACCTTGTCAAGCAAAGTCAATGAGGAAGCCAGATTCATTTAACAACCGAGTTACTAACTTATCAACGGCAGTGATTCACTTAACAATTGTGGCAAGAATGGTTGGCAAAATGGGGCAAAACTCACTTAATGTTTCACTTAACAACAGAAATTTTGGGCTCAATTGAGGTTGTTAGTCAAGGACTACTATAGTTGGAAAAATTAAGCCTATTATTATTAAACAAAGTGTGCACAATTCACACGCACACACAAAACACAGAAATGTTTCTGGTGACACAGTCATTAGTCAGCGGCAGAACTGGAAAGTGAATATTTTTCCTTAAAAAATCTTACAAAATTTGATTAAAGAGTGAAGCAGTTTGAAAATGTTTGCCAAAGATAAGAGTTGGACATTTCCCCCCATCACTTGACATAATCCTGAAGACTGAAGCAGCTTTAAATTACTTCTAGCTGAGATAGAAGTACATTCTATTCTTCTCACCAGAAATATCTAAAGAAAAGATTAAGAACATTCTTGCCGTAACATCCATTCCTTATTCAGTCGCTATACCTAAGGCATACAAGGGTCAATTCATTGCAGGCACCATGTAGGTTCACATGTTAGATTAAGCTCAACTGTTCAACTGTATTTTGTTGAAACAAAAATACAATTGCCTGGTTTCACACATGGTCTTAAGCCTGTCAAACACAATAATAGCTGGATGAGCATAAAATGCTATGCCTAAAGCAAACAAATAAAATTATGGCTTATTATGATGTCGCATTTTCTTATTGTATATTATTTGCCTTGTATTAATTTGCCAGTTGTTTCCTATTATTTGGTTGAAGACAGCACATGACCAACCCATGTTTTGAAGTATACTGCTTATATAATGTTATCATGCAAGATATTTCCTATTTCCTGGCCAGGCTATGCTGAAGGAGCTGCTGCAATTTTGTGTATCAAAAATGAGTCAAGACTCAATTGCTTTATACATACAGTTTCACCCTACCTAAACTAGCATGCATTTGTTCTACAGAAAACAACAAAGCCAAGACCTGGGCTACACACAATGCACATCATGATTTTCATATATATTTTTTTAAAAAACACATTTTTGTGTAATTATTTAGTATATTTACCCATTAAACAAACATTTGCTCAGGATTTTGCAAAGTGAGAACCTATGACACCAATTGTCCAAAACAATATGCGTTACTGTGGGTCACTATGACCTTGATTCAGTGTTTCTAGTATTCAAAAATACTTCAAGCCCAGCCCCATTTCAAGGGTCTTCAAGCGATCAAATTCAGATATGCCATCTCAACAGATTGTCTCCTAGTTTAAGTACCTTAAAAGTAATTGTTTGTCACTTCTGATGCCAAAAAAAGCAATCTTATTCAGTTCAATTTATTATTATTGGAGTAAAGACATATACCATTAAGATTTGGACTAAGTGAAAGCTTGATACTTAGCTAAAACCAACA